CGAGCAGAAGACATTTTTAGATACTCTAATGTATATATATATATATATATATATATATTCTTGATTAGGGTCAACAGCCGAGTAAGTTTTTACTAGGCAACTTTTCATGGGTTAGTTCAAAGAATTAGTTTTCTTTATGGAAAGTATTTCAGCTTTTCTTGACAAAACTTAGCATTTGAACATCGAACTACTATATTTACTATATTGGCATTCGGGTATTAAGATTTCGTATGCAAACCTTTTTAAGCCAAGTGTCTGCAAGGGTATTTAGGCTTCGGTGTGCCGAAGGTGCTTTTGGTTACGGCTCGCAGCGTGCGGTTGATTTACTATAATTGTAATCGACAAACGGAATAACAGAAGCCACAATATAAGTGGGGAAAAGGTGCGGAATGAGAGATACCATCTGTAATTGTTGTAGCTGCAGCCATTGGACACGTTCCAAATACGGGGTGCTTTTTTATTGAAAGATATCATTGAGCATGTGACAGGTGTTAAAGAGTCCTCAAGTTCTACAGAATTGCTTAAATGCGCACTCGAATTCGATAGTTGTGAGAGTAGAGTAGAGAGAGAGAGAGAGGGGGGGGGGGTAGAGAGAGAGAGAGAGAGTATTATGACTGATATCTTATGGATACATTCTATAAAGCAAATGAATGGGACTTCGAGTCAGCATTGGGTCAAGATTGCATTGTCTTTGCCAGGGGCCAGGTAATTTCCTGATAATAGTTTATTTTTATAGGCTGCAAATCGGCTTTGAACCGAGCTGGTTCGAACCAGCAATTTCACTTTATAATTTTCTTTTATGAAGCAAACCATAATCCCAGCGAGTTGTCTAGGAAAATAATTAACAAACCGAAACCCGAACCAAATCTTAATTTTCTCAAAACACTTTATGTAAGTCCAGATACAAAGCATAAATAGCTTAGGTCCTACATCTGAACAGAAAGAATATATATTGATAATGTTAATTATTTGCTTAACAAAGATAAAGATAAAAGATATGACAAAGCAAGTTTTGTTGAACCAAGACCTGGGGCCAAGGCTGCGGAAAGTCAGTTTTACGAATCGTACCTAAAGTTATATCTTTTTGATCGCCATAAAGTTCTCTTACTTAAGAACTTCAATCGCCATCTCGATCAAACTTTAGAACATATATAACCGGCTTTTACTCTGTTTGCAGACTGCGAGCTGGTGCACCCTGTATAATAAATAGCCTGTGGCAGATGGCAGGTATCTCTGGGTGTTTATGAGACTCAGCCTCAAGATACATACATATACAGAGAAGATGACCCACTAGGAGCATGCTTATGCCTTAAATTTGTCTATCGATGCGAGTGTGTTTGTGTGCGTGTGTGTGTGTGTGTGTGTGTGTTCGCAGCTGTTGGCTTTGGCATTGCATTGGATAGCGCTGACTGCTCAGTTTATTAAAAATGTATGCCATAAAAATTGCGTTTTCATATGCGAGAGATGTTCCTGCATATTTTCACGCTACGCAGCTTAAAGCGTGCCTCAGTGTGTGTGTGTGTGTGTGTGTATGTTTGTTTGTATGCATGTGGGTGTGTGTGTGGATACCCGTAAAGAGGAAACGGAAATCAGCATGCAAGCGCACGCAGCAACATCAGCAACAACAACAAAAACAACAACAACGTCTAACGGCAAGCATGTTATTCTTTTTGATACCCTGTAAACAACAACTGTCTTAAGACCAGGTATAATTAGCCCATTTAATACATCAATTCATGGCCTCTTTTCAATAAATTTCTATTCAAGAAGATAAATATCTTATACTTAAATGCAGCCTGAGACTATCTTTGAAGTATTCTGCGTACAGGGTATGGGGCAGTGACCACGCCCATTACTATGTATCTCGGCTGGGCAGATTCAAGGAAAATATTGAATAAAATAATAATAAAAGGAAATTGTCGCTGATTCGATTCACGCTTTGAGCTCACACAGCTTACAGGGTATTTGTGTGTCGTTCATTGCTAGGGTAATTAATTTTAATATGGCCTTTGTTGGTATTTTATTTTATTTGTGGGTCTTTATTTTAACCGGCTACATTTTTAATACGGCCGCAGTCCGGTTTTGGGGCAACAATTTTAAGCATTGCTTAACATGCCACATAACACATGTAACTAACTAATGAGTGGGAAAGTGGCTGCCACAAAGGGCAAGCGAGAGAGCGAGAGTAAAAGAGTGAGAGCGCATACATTTTTATGCATATTTGATGACCAATTGCGTGTCTGCTGTTGTGTATATGTGTGTGTGTTTGTGTGTTTGCTTGAATGCGTGTGTATCTGTGTTAAAGTATCCCAGACTATATTATATATACATATATATATAAGAATATACTCGATATTTAGAAGATATTATTGGATGCCTTTCATAAATCTAATGGCATACACAGGTTTGCCAAAACTTTTACTTTCGTGCCTATAAAATTTAATTCCAGTTCCCGAAATATATTTTGTAAAAAATGGCATTAAATACAACAAAATATTTC